ATTAATAAACTTCCCATCAAACCTAACAAACAAAACTAGCTCACCCTGACAAATACAGAATGTCATCACAGTAGACTATTCAAAAAATGATGGTGGTTTGGAGAGATAGTGATGATGACAAGTCATTTGAATTTTAATATACTTTAAATATACCTCTATAAGACTTACTGAGAGATCAGATCTGAAATGTGAGGGAAATAGACATATAAATTATTTATTTTGCTTAAGCAACTGTCTGAGTAATAATGCCATCATTGGTGTGTAGGAGGTAAGGATGAACAAATTGGGGTTTTTTAAGAGAAGTGAAATCAATGCTTCCCTTTTGGCAATCGCTTTAGAGGTTCGTATTAGACTTCCATATGAGAATGTGTAGAGAGTCGATAGCTCAGTGTGGAACAGAAAAACAATTATCGTAATGATCTATGAGAAACAATGGGTAAAGTCACCCTTACTTCTTGAAAGTGGGAAATTGATAAATAAATTTTAAAGCATAACTTATTATTCATATGTTTTACTGTTTTATCAAAAAACTTATCATTATGTCTTATAATAATAAATTTGAAAACAACAGAAAAAAGGAATGAAGTTAACATTCATTTCTATTTATACAATCTAATGATAGAAATTGTATGCTTGAGAATAAAGAAAAAAATTATCCTATAAAAATCATTGAAAAAATAAAAAATCCACACAATCAGGAACAATTAAATAGTGGATTAGAAAAAACTATAAACATTGCATTTATGCTCTGCTGAACAAAATTAGCTTTGTTGCAATAATGAATTTAGAAAGAAATAGTATAATTCCTCAAACAAAAAGAATAAGAATTTATTTTTTTTCATCTCCTTGAACAAAAAACAAAGAGATGAATTCAAAAGACTAATGAAGTTCTCCTTTCTTGAAAATGAGGAAGAATCCCAGTAAACCAGGAGGAAAAAAAAAGAATATCTTATTGTCTCCCATAATGGGCCAGGCACTGGGTTAAACACTATGAAACGTATCATTTGATCTGCATAGGAACTCTATGAAAGTATCATTTGATCTTCATAGGAACTCTAGTTCCTCAATTTAGATGAAGAGACTGATGCTTAGATGTATGTTAAATAACTTGCCCAAGTCAAACGTAATATTTTAATAACATTGTAGTCCTGCCTCAGACTGTCACTTTGATTTCAGAGCTTATAAACCTGTCAGCACCAGGGAAAAGGTCTCTGTCTCTCACCCACACAAATTAAAAGAGGAAAACAACAACAAAAACCTCACTATAGGCATGATCTCGGCATTCCAACTGATGGTAAGATGCGAGGAAGCAGAAGAAGGTGTGATTGCTTCCACTCCCCGTCAAGATCAGTGGCTTATGGAGACATTGACATAGAAGCCTTACGAAAACTGCAAATCCCTCCTGTTCTACAGTGAATGTAAAATATTAGTCACTTAGGTTTAAATTCCAAAGAACACGATCGGTATGTTTTATTTGCAAACATTTTACATATTAGCTTTACTTTCTTTTGTTTCCATAGGTATCATCTCTATTTCTTGTTCTCCCTATAGAAAGCTCCTTTTTGATCATCAGGTTGTGAAGACCTCCAACTTGAGCTCATTTTTAAAGTAAAACTAGACTCTGCTTGCTCTAACCAAAAGGATTTAAATTACACTGTGGATAAGATGTTGTACGCAGACGAGCTAAAGCTGTGTTTTATTTCCGAAGCAAATGGACTGAAACAGATGGAAGGGGAGAAAGAGAGCGTTCCTGGAGGCACAGAGTCTGTGTGTCACCAGCTGCTGCTGGGAGATAATGGGCAATGGCAAGTGATATGCAGGAGAAAATCCAAATGCTGTGGGTCCCTCCTTTGGACTGTTAGGGGAAAAGAGTCTCTCCTTGTGTTCTTTTAATTGAAGATGAAGCCTGCAATTTGCAATGCTCACTTAAAGCAACCCTGCCTTATTTGATTGAAACATAAAAACAGGGTTCACAAATTGCCTGTGCTATTCCCTGTGGGCTTCAGCTCAAATTATGTAATTCATGGAAGGAGCCACTGAGGGGGTGAGAAGGGTCATGGATATAAGGTAAATATGGAATATGTTTTTAATCTTGCTATATAGTCCATAAATACTGTTGTTACTTACATTTAATTACATTCACTTATTTTAAATTTTGTTACTTAATGTAGGAAATGTGATTTAACACCATTGCCTGAATTGCCTGAATGTCTTTTGAAGAATAAGCTTAATTCCCACATTAACTGATTCCTTTGGAATTAAAAGCAAAGACTCAAGGCATAATGTGGATAACTTTGTAGGCCCTATGACAGGTTAGTCCTGATTTATCTGGGAGTAAAATTTTTTCATACCGGCTATTAAAAAGTTTCTCTGAGAGTAAGGAGACATAATAGAAAATAGAATTAGGGGGTGAAAAAGGGGTCTCAGGTGATAAAGAATCCAAAATCATGACCAGAAGCTGGGGACAGTGTAAAAAAGAGCTATTCTGTACTTAATTATATAATTAATTCAAACATTATGTACAGCCAGGTGCAGTTGCTTACACTGGTAACCCCAGCACTTTGGGAGGCTGAAGTGGGAGAATCATTTCAGGCCAGGAGTTCTAGATCTGCTTTAGCTACACAGCAAAACCTTACCCCTGATTTTTTTTTTTTTTTTTTGGCCGGGCCTGGGTTTGAACCCACCACCTCTGGCATATGGAGCTGGCACCCTACTCCTTGAGCCATAGGCGCTGCCCCCTGATTTTTTTTTTTTAATATAGCCTAGCATGGTGGTGTATGCCTATAGTCCCAGATACTTGGTGGTAAGATTGCTTGAGCCCAGAAATTTGAGGTTACAATAGGCTATGATCAGACCACTGCATTGTAGCCTAGGTGTCAGAGCAAGATCTTATCACTAAAAAATAAAATATGTGGCATTGGCTAGGGGTGGACATTCAGGTCACCTCCGGAAGATGGGTAGATTAACTATGTTGGAAGTTGACTGTGTAATATTCTGCAGCAATTAGAAGCAAGGGATTAGATTTACATATAACCACATGGATATATCTTAACAACAGGTGCCAAGTGAAAAAAAAAAGTATAAGATGCAGAATAAGATACAAAAATAATACCATTTATGTAATTATAATATATGCATGCACAAAATTATATTCTACAACTTTGCAGTGAGAAATAAAAAGATACATTGAATACAGCATAGTGATTACTTTGAAGGTGAAAGATTAGGAAGTTGTTTATAGAGACAAAAAGATATGTGGAATAAATATTCAAATATGAGATAAACCCCCAAAATAAGAGAAGGGCTATATAAATCTACTTAGGCTGCCATAATAAAATACCACTAACTGGGCTTAAACAGCAGACATTTATTTTTTCAGTTCTGGAGGCTGAAATTCTATAGCCAAGGTGCTAGCAACTTTGGTTTCTGGCTTGTAGATGGCACTTTATCTCTGTGATCTCATACAGTCTTCTATACTCATCACAGAAGAGAAGGCTCTGGTTTCTCTCTTTTTTTTCTTACAAGGCCCTCTTAAATTAGGGCATCATGCTTATGAACTCAGTTAACCTAAAGCGATTCCTAAAATCCCTATATACAGTCACATTGGGGGTTGAGGCTTGAACGTATCAGTTTCCCAAGGACACATGAAGTAGCTTTTGAGGACTTTTGAGGACTTGAAGTGTTTTGAGGACCTGTGATGACAGTTTGCAATTGAGCCTAGAAGTGTGATTAACTCAACAATTTTCACTTGAGGAGGATGATTTGGAAACAAGAATATCATGTAATTCTAGTTTTCTACCTCTCCTTGACACTCCCAAATCTCCAGGAAAATGAGACTAGAGTCAGACACCTAGGTTTCCTTTCCATCTTACGCCCTATTTACTTCACTCTACACCTGTCTCTGTTCTTACCAAGGTCATCTTAAAAGATTTCCTCAATTTGACCAAACATTAGACTAGTTGCTTCAAATTTTCCTAAACATGAGAACAATTCCTTTCTGACTCTAAGCATCCAACATTTCTTTTTTTAAGAGTACTTTCTTCAGAAAACTTACAATTGTAAATTCTTTTTTTACCTCTTTGAGATACAAATTTTCTCTTACATCTCTTAACCTTTTGCCAGTTTTATAATCCAGGAATATCTTTCTCAAGGACCAGAGAGTCATCCCTTTGAAATGTAATTATCAAGAAAGAGAGCAGTACTATCTCCCATTCTCTGTGGGAGGGTAGGATCTTAACTTTCATAAGCCCCAATTAGCAAACACAGATGGTCTAACCACATCAACCAAACTCGCCCCTAATGTTCTCAGTACTTTTCCACTAGCTCACTCAGTGCTTAAAATTCTTCTTCCTTTTTTGTTTCAGTGAGTTGAGTTCAATCTCCCTGTCTTATATTTCAGTAATCCTCATCCCTGTTTTGCTAACATCTTAAATAAATTTTTTTCTTGCCCACTTATCTCCTCTGGTATAATTTTTCTTTGACAGTTTCAAGTTTGGATTAAGAAAGAATGGAGAAAATAAACCAGTGAAATGAGTCAAGACAAGCACATTTTCCAATTCAGAAAAATGAGAAGATAAAGGAGACCAGCGTAAACACAAAACTTGTCTACATACCCTAAGATAGTAAAGGAAATATCTTTTTCCAGCTTACGTTTGGATAACACTAAAGTTTATATGTATTTAAATATTAAGCAAAGACAGTACCATATAATTGGGGCATTGTAATACCCTGTCAGTTAACACTAATGTTTTTCCTAATTAAGAGCTCAATAAGATTAAATTTAGAAACGTATTTTATGGCAAACACTTCTTTTTGATATAATACTCCTATAAGATTTATTGATAAATGTTCTAATGATACCTAGAGATATCATTCATTGATTTTTTAGGGCCATCTTCAAAGGCCTAAGCTCTCCCACATTGCAGGATGCTTGAGTGAGATTTGGAAAATGCAGGATAGGGGAATCCATTTTTCTTCTTCTTTTTCTTCTTTTTATAAGTAGCCTTGAAACACAAGACCTCAAAAAATTGGGTAAAGACTCAGAATTGTTCCTCTTTATAGAAATCTTTAGTAAAAGGATAAATATTTATGCAATCTGAAGAGACAAGAAAAATAAATCAAATTAAATCAAATCAGAAAAGAGGAATACAATTATTTCAAAGATGACAAGAACCTGTTAGAATTAGTTAATGAATTCAATCATGTTATAGGTATAAAATCAATTTATATGCAAAATCAATGCAATTCTTTATATAAATATAATCTATAAAAAAAATCAAGAAAATATTCCCATTTATTATAGCATCAACAATAATAAAATATTTGGGAATAAATTTGGCTAAGGAAGCAAAGATCTTAGTCATTGAAAACTATAAAGCATTGAGGAAAGAAACTGAAGAAGACACAAATTAAAATTTCCATTTTATCAAAAGTGATCTACATATCCAACATAATTCCTACCAAAATTTCAAAGGCATTTTTCACAGAATTAGAAGTAAACAACCCTAAAACTGACATGGAACGAAGAAAGATCTTTAGAAAGAGAACAAAGCTGGAAGCCTCTTAGTTTCCGATTTCAAATTATATGTATTATAAAGCTATAATAATCAAAACAGTCTGGTCTTTGCATTAAAGAAAACAAAAGAAAACAGACAGACAGATCAATGAAACAAAATTGAGATCCCAGAAATAAACCCAAACACATATGATCAACTACTTTTTGAAAAGAGCACCAACAAGAAAACAGTTGGGAAAGGATATACTTTTCAATAAATGGTGTTGGAAAACAGGATATCTACTTTCAAAAGAGTGGAATTAGACCATGCCTCATGCCATACACAGAAAAAGTCATTCCAAAATGGGGATTAAACATAAGACATGAAACTGTAAAACATTTAGAAGAAAAGGTTCTTGATATTTCCCTTGACAGTGATTTATTAGATTCTATTTTATAAAAAGCTAAGGCAACAAAAATAAACAAGTGGGACTCCATTAAACTAAAAAGCTTCTGTACAATAAAAAAAGATAAGGAACACAATGAAAACACACTATGGCTTGAGAGAAAATCTCTACCAACAATGTATCTGATAAGTGTTTACTTTCCAAATGTATAAGGAAGTCACGTAAGTCAATATCAATGAACAAAAAATTCAATTTCAAATAGTGCAAAGAATTTGAATTGACATTTTTCCAAAGAAGACAAACAGATGACCATTAAACATTTTAAAAGGTACTCAACATCACTAATCATCGGGGAAATGCAAATCAAACCACAATGAGATATCTACCTTACCTGTCAGAATAGCCATCAAAATGACAAAAAATAACAAATGTGGTCATAAGGGTATGAATAGAAAAGGAAATCTTTGTACACCATGAAAATGCAAATTAGTTCAACTATTAAGAAAAGCAGTATATAGTTCCCTCCAAAACTAAAAATAAAATTAGCCAGGAATGACCCAGCAATCCCTCTCTTGGGCATATACCCAAAAGAAATGAAATCAGCACCTCAAAGAGAAATACTGTGTAATATTTATCTAGCCTTATAAAAGAAAATGCTAGTATTTGCAAAAAGATGGATGATCCTGGAAGACATAATGCTAAGCCAGACACAGAAAGATAAATGCTGCATGATCTCACTTATAGGTGGAATCTAAGAAAATGCATGTAGAACAGTGGTGGGAGGGGAGAACAGAGAGCTGTGGATCAATGGGTTCGTTCAAGCTTGTAGTTATGTAGGATGAATAAGTCTATAGATTTAATGTAAAATATAATGAGCATACTTAATAATACTGTATGGTATACTTGAAATTTGTCAAAGGGTAGATGTTAGGTGTTCTTATCCACAAAAACAAAAGAATAGCAAACTATGAGAGAAAATTAATAAGTTTATTTACTTGGCTGTAGTAATTATTTCATTATATGTAATGTATATTTATACACATACAAATATGATGCTGTACTCTTTAAATATGTACAAGAAAGAATCATTGTAATAAAATATAAGAAAAAGGACATGTGTTTAAAAAAATAAAAATGTCTGCACAGCATTTATGTGAAATAAGCTCCTATTTACATTTAAGGTTTTATGACCAATTACACTTTCAGTGAAATTTTATCTTCTTAGTTTTAACTTCTATAATTGAGTCTATTAATTTCTGTGTAACTTCACAGAAAAGTATTTGAAAACTCTGTGATTAATGCAAGTCAAAATTAAACTTAATTTTATAACAAATATATTCAAATATCAATGAATTTATACAAAATAGGAAAGAACAAATAGAAAAAAATTACAAAATATTGAGCTACGGGTTTGGGGTTTTTGTGTGTGTGTGTGTGTCTCTCTCTGTGTGTGTTTTCTTTTGAGACAGGGTCTAACTCTATCACCCTACAGTGAAGTGGCATCACCACAGCTAACTGCAACCTCAAACTCCTGGGCTCAAGCAGTTTTCCTGCCTCAGCCTCCTGAGCAACTGGGACTCCAGGTGTTCACCACTATGCCTGGCTAATTCTGTCTAATTTTGTAGAGACAGTATCTCCCTATGTTGGTCAGGCTGCTCTCCAACTCCTGCCCTTAAGTGATCCTGTCATTTCAGCTTTCTAATAGGCTAGGATTATAAGCACGAGTCACCATGTCAGCAACAATGAGTTTTAAGTGATATTTTTAACCCCTACAAAGAAAATATTTTAAAAATAGTATATTAGTTTTTATTTTTATGTGCCTTTTTCATTATATTGTTCTTTTAGAAGAGAAGAGTAAAATATAAGTGAATATGCTGGAATATTTCTTAAGTGGTAGGAGCAAAGTTAAGTCACTTTGTATCACTCATTTATTTCAGAAAACATCTCTGAGAATATTTTTTTGTAGATAAAGCTTTAAATAATCCCTTTTCAGGAAGCCTTATTTTCTCCCTTCTAAGCTATTTTCCTATGGTGTTATTATTTACAATGGAGTTATTACTTTCAATGGAGTTGAAATATTATTGAATATTATTTTCAATGGAGTTATTATTCACTCCCTTGACCAGATATGGTTGTGATCTTTGGCTTTTGAGGATGTGATGCCTGAGTTTGTTGGAGACCTAGGACCTCATTATGTGGTCTTTAACCTATTGCCTCATCAGTTCTGCAGTGGGTCGCCATGCTGTGCATTACTGTCTTGTTTGAATGGGTGACAGATTTTCCATTAATCAAATCTAATTTTTTATACTTAAACACTTAGACTGCTTTTTGTCTTCTTTCCCACATACATTAGTTTGTCAGGAATGTCATAAGAAAATTTGTTAGGCTGCTGCAGACTGGGTGGCTCACATGAGAGAAAGTTGTTTTCTTATAGTTCTAGAGGCTTGAAGTCTGAGACCAAAATGTTGGCAGTGTTGTTTCCTAAGAGGTCTCTCCTTGGTTTGGAATGACTGTCTTCTTTTGGTGTCTTCATATGGTACCTACGTATGTCATTATCTGTCCCATTAGATTAAATCCTCTTGGATTAAGGTGTCCTCCCAGGATTCCATTTAAATTTAATTACCTCTTTAAAGGTCTTATCTGCACTCACATTCTAAGGTACTGAGATAAAGCTTTACATAAGTGAATTTTATTGGTGTGCTCCCACTTAATGGGCACAATGTAAGGAAGGGTATATGGCACATCCTTTGGGTACAGGATGCAATTATAAGGGGGATTCTACCTAACAAAGGTAAACATAGTAACCTTGTTATTTGTACCTTCACATTAACCTGAAATAAAACATATATATATATATATATATATGTATATGAATTTTAGAAGGTACCCAATTCATCCCCTAACACAACTATGTACTATCCATCAAATTAGGGGTAGAAAGTCCAGTGAGAACCATCATCCTCCCTGTCAGGTTTGGAATCTTGGAAATAATAAATAAGTTTAAATAGTGCTTTTCATGATACTATTGCCAAAGATGAAAGATCCACCCTCATCTCATTAAGCAGCCATTTACAGATAAAATTTCTAATAGAAAGAAGGGGGAAAATGTTTGCCTTACCTAACACATATAAACTTTATTAAGCAAAACAAAAAATAATAAGAGAAAAATTTTAGAAAATGTAAAAAGAGTTTGACATAGCATTTCAAACACATTTGAAAAGCAGGAAGAAGCTATAATGGACAAATTAGGTTGCCTGGAGATGCACTATGAATAATCATTTCTATTTTCCTAGCATGCAGAGAGGAAAGGAATATCTGAAGTGACTCTAGCACTTGAATTCATTCTAAGAGAAAACACAACTCATTTAAAATTTGAAAAGTACAGTTTGTGGTTTTCAAATGATATTTTAAAGTGTGGATATAGATACTAAGTGTAGTAGCTTGATTTTTTTTTTTTTAATTTTTTGAAAAGATACTTCTCAGTTTTAGTAACATATACACTTTGGGGAATGACTGAAATAAGACAAAACTCTTTGAGAGTTGCAAAATTATTAAAGGTCTTTTACATTACTGTAAAAACCAAATGAAGGGAGAGGCAGAAGCAAGATGGCTGACTGGAGCCAGCTTTCCACAAAGACTTCTGTAAGGGTTAACAACTATATTACAGCACATTCAAGTGAAAGTGCATCTTAGAAGGAGGCGCCTAGCGACCTTGCTGATTAAGAAAAACGATACAAAAGACCAGAAGCAATTTAACACGTGCACACATTCCAAAGAAATTTACTCATATCACTCTCCACCTTCTTCCTACTTTATCCTCACAATACTAGCCTATCACAAACCAGGACTGCATACATAACCAAATCTAGAAGTACCCCTCATTCCCCCACTAACTAAACCTATAAAACCCCCTACCTATTACAATAAACAGCTTCGGCTCAGTCCCTTTCCCAATGTGTCTGTCTTGTCTTATTTGTTTTTCCCTTTCATACACCGACTCCCCAAACTGCCGCCGCCCGCAGGTCGGGAGGCGACAGACTTCCATCTAGAAGGAGAGTTAAAGAACAGAAGTTTAGCAAGTAAGCTAATAGTTTGGAGCTTAGCCAAGAGAGAAAGTTGAAGCACGCACATCAACCCTGCTGAGGCAAGCTGTGACCCTAAGGATACAAACAAAAGGTACAAAATCCATCATCAAGTGGCCAGGAGTGCC